TAGATTACTTACTTCAATTCCACTTTCTCTTCTAATTATTGCTGCAAAACAATCTGTCCCAGGCCAAATTGAATATTTTATTAGTGTTTTTTGATATCAGTTGGGATATTCTTGCAACACTGCACTAGTGGTTCAGGAGCCTTTTTTCTTGGCTACCCTAAAGCCTAGGTGTCTGTGACCTTCTGTACTAACCAATGGTTCCATGAACATTATTGTGAAAATCAGGGATCTTCTCATCACATTTTCATACAACCACCCACCATCGTCTTTAGCTCGTATGCCACAGAGGAGAACATTTACATTCTGCAAATTTCTGTTGTTGAAGTAGCTCTTAGTCTCTCACTTCGGTGGGTTGAAAATGAAACAGTCTGTGAGTCTGAGGCAAATAAAAGAGCCATCATGTCTGCTGTGACTTTTTTCCTGGACCCTGGAGCATCAGTATGTAGGAGCTTAACACGTATAATTAATCGTACTATTAAAATCTGAAACTCCCACATGTATTCATCTGCTGGGGCTGCCATAACAAAGCAGCACAGACTGGGTGACTTCAACAACAGAAATATGTTTTCTCACAGTTCTGGAAGCTAGAACTCCAAGATCAAGGTGTCAGCAGGGTTGTGTTCTTCCGAGGCCCCCCTCCTCGGCTTGCAGATGGCCGTCTTGTCCGTGTCATCACAGGGTTCTCCTTCCCTACATGTGTGTCTGGGTCCAAATCTCCTCCTTTCATAAGGACACCAGTCATATTGAATAAAGTTATTGAACTTGATTGTGTCAGTAAAGACACTCTAAGGTCCCATTCATAGGACACCCACAAAATGAGTTGGGGTAGGGGAACACAATTAATCTGTAACAGATGTTTTGCCCTCGATTTCCTTTCACCACTGCCAGCCCCAGGCCCACCTCTGATGTGCTTTCTCTGTCCCACATTGTTGACTGCAGTTTCAAATTTTCTAAGGCATTATTTATTGATTGTGAATATCTGTCAGTTTGTGAGTAAAGATTAATGTGTATTTACAAGGGATGCTACTGATTGCATTGTAAATTTAACACAGTTCTAAAGCAGAATTCCAAAAATCAACCTGGACCATAGCAGCAGTTTCTGAATAAGTGCACAGCTTCTAAGAGAGGCAATATAATTTAGTGGTGATGAGGACAGCCAGCTAGACTGCCTACATTATCATCTGCCCATTTACCGGTTGGTTAACCCTGGGGAAAGTACTTATATCTCCCTTTGGAGGAGTTTCCTTGTCTGAAATGTAGTTGTTATAATACTTCATAGAGTTATGAGAATTTAAAATGCTAATCTATGTGCTCTCTACTTGGAATTCAGTAAGTGCTCCATAAATGTTTGACACTATTATTCCTACAGTGGCTGCTTTGAAAGGAGATATTGCTTTGGCAAATACTCCTCTGGTGTGTTTGCTTAAACATTATTACTAATTTGTGGGGACAACTTTTGTGTTTCCTGGGTTCAGTACAATTTGACCTGAGAGGACAATTCTTATTTGTCACTGACAGTACATAAGCTTAAAGGAAACATGGGGATCAGTGTGCATTGTTGAAGTACTTAGAGCTCTTGTTTATAAATTATGGTCTTCAAATTTGTATCCCTGGTCCCCTGAGCACAGTGTGTTGGTGGAGCATGGTGTCAATTTTGGGTCAAAGTGACATGATTTGAATCCCAGGCTGGATACACCACCTCCTTTAAAACAGATTCTCTGTTATCTATTTGGTGTATTCCACTTCTGTGTAAAATTTTGTTTGGAAGAGTTCTACTACTAAAAATAACTTGAAAACCACTAGCTCAGCATATAGATTATTCATCTTCTTCTGCCCCCCACTGCTTTCATTCAGTGTATACCCCAGGGATGCAACTAATGTTAATATTAGCCTGAGCAAAACATAATTAGGAAGGTAAATCTACTGCAAAAAGTAATATCGCATAAATTAAATAAATTAAATATAGATCAAATCAAATATAAAACAATGTATTCAATTATCTGCATCACTGCCCCCTGCTCTAACATGGATATTTGAGAGGAGACTAATTTTCTTTCTGGGATAGGGCCAGAACTGAACCAAGACTGAAGAGCTCTGTCAATCTCTAGAATGATCCTTCTTGACCGATTGGGCATTAGCTAAAGGCACTGCCATTTTGCTCAGCTTAGTTTAGTGTCAATAAGTCGACCCACTGCCTATCTATCTTAATTGTTCAAACTTGAATTAGTCTTTGTGTGTTACTAGAAGAAACCTCTGCTTCTATTTGGAAGATACTATGCTCAGGCAGGATCCATTATGTGGAAAAACATTGAAAAGTTTTAGTTGATCAGATTTCTAGAAACTTGACCTGGGAAAGCACATTTCTGCTCAATGAAGTTTCTAGGTCTGGAGAGCAGGCACTATCAGCACAATGTCAGTTCTGCTGCTGGAATCAGAACCATCACAGTAGTCTTGGACACCTTCTGCCCTTGCCACCCAGCCTCTCCAGTGGGTTGGTCTGCTCCTGCCTGTCCCTCTCCTCTCAAACTTCCCTGCCTTCAAGCAGTCCAACCTCCATTCAGCTGGTGTCTAGAATTTTCCAGGTGGGGTGCACATGCTGTTTCCCCTTGTTTTCATTGAGCATACTGATTTTTTGTCATAGTGTGACTCGTGAATTCAGAAAAACCTGCTGCCATGTGCCCTGCTGTTCATCGGCTCTCGTCTCTCCCTCTTGGGTTGAGTACACAACTCTATGAGTACAGTTCTATGAGTACACAACTCTCTGTAGAACATTGTGCTAAAGTGGGGATGACACTGGTGAGATTTTACCTGCCCCAGTTTTAGGCTACTGGCAATCGAGATGAGTTTGCTTGTATTCCAAAATCACAGACCAGTGGAGGCAATACCATTGTAAACCAGTTCTTACAGCTGACGGACAATGACCAGCAACGGGCTGTCTAGCTCTAATACTTTGCGATGCTCACTGAAGAAACTTTCCCTGACCCCCTCCCCACACATACCCCAGAGAATCTGACCATCCCTTTCACACCTGATCATTTTACCAAGTGACCACCTCTCTTCTAGTGCCTCTAACAATATTTTGGGGGCCACATTTGGGTTCCCATCAAACAGCAGTGAGTTGTTGAGGGCAAGAACCATGTCTTTATATCCCAAGTTCCTAACTTATTAGGTGCTCAATAGATATTAAAGAATTTGAGTTTGTGAATGATTGAATGAATAAGTACATCAAATACTCTCACTGCTTTTCAGCATCAAAATAATCAGGTGATCTACTATTTCCCCTCCATTCTAACTTCCATTATTGTATGAACCTTAAAACTGGGTTTTGCCCAAAGTGTTTCTCTGGTTTGTCACATTCAGTGTTTCCTTCTCCAAATCATCTCTTAGACAGCTGCACGGCTAATTTTCCAGAAGATAAAAACCCCAATTTCTCTCAGATTGCTTTCTTGCTCAAAAAATTTCCCATTGCCTGCGGGATAAAGTTAGAACTTCTTGGCCTGGCATTCAATGCTGACTGCAACTTGCCTTGATGTTTCTTTAAAAATTACTTTAATTGTTGCAATAAAGTAACAATCAAAATCAACAAGCAACTATAGACCAGAGACACACTATGGAGGGGCAGAGGGAGGAGAAGAAGGATTAGGGTCAGAAAAAGGGGGTGGGAATTGTTGGGGAATATAACCAAAATGATAATGCATACATTATGCAAAAATGAAAAATGATGTAAGAATTATATAAAAGAAAATAATTTATTTAAAAAATTGCTAACCACATTGAAAATATAACAGATACTCATTTATCTACCACTGAGATTAAATATTAGCATTTTCCTTATATTTACTTTGATTCTCTTTTCCTAAATGAATATACAAACATTGCAGATACAGATAGGCCTTCCCCTTCCACTTTTCCTCTCCCCATCTACCAGAAAGACTCCTTCCTTTGGTGGTGTTATCTCTCACTACTCACCTACGTAAACTATTTGGTGAGTTGTGTCCACGAAATATCTCCCTGAAATTTCTTTGTTCCTTCTCTTTTCTTTGAGGGCTAGTTTATTTTCCAACTTGTCCAGCAAGCTTTCCCACCAGCCCCTTAGCTTCTAAATTGCTAAGGAAGTTATTATCTCCATTGCTCACTTGGAGACACTTACTCTGCCTGTGTCAGTTTCTAAATAGCAGCTTGATCCTAGTCTTGGGTTTCTGCTCCCTTTATAGTAATTTTTTTCCATCTTGTTTTATGTTATAGTTGATTGCCTGCATGTGTTTTTTTCCCATTAGATAACAACATTCAATATAAGATCTGAGTTTTAGTTTCATTCATTCATTCTGCAGGTTATGAAATTCCTGCTAATAAGCTCCAGCAATTGTTTTAAGCACTGAGAATACAGGAGTGAACACAATAGGCAGTTGCAGTGATTGTGGGACATATATTCTAGTGGAGGAGAGAGAAATTATGAGAGTAGATGAATATGTCAAGGTGGTTAAGTGCCAAGGAGAAAAAAGCAGCAAGGAAAAGCCTGAAGAGTGAGGTAATTCTATTGTTGATATACATTAAATGTAGTTTTCTCTTATATGCTCTGCTTCTCTGCTAAGTGCAGAAGGTGCCTGGTACATATTTGTTGAATTACACAGCAGACTCAGATATTTGATAACTTGCCCATGAGACTCTAAGAGGCCAGTGTACACCATTCTCCTTGGAAGGTGTTGATAGGATGCAAATTTTAATCCTTTGCTGTCAGGAGTACCTCTGGATTGTTCCTTCACTCTCTCAGTAGGCGTGCATGATAGACATAACAGATTTTGATACTGATTTAAGGAGGGAAAATATGCTTCCCAGTAGCCTGTTAATTCCATAGTCATATGGAGCCAATTTGATGTCATCCTTCTCACTGTTCTTCAGCCATTGGGCTGATGGAAGTTTCACTGTTTCAGTGAAGACAGGTGCGGTGTTACTGAGCTATGACACCAAGAAGGCTAATGCTGTCTTTCTAATCCTTCTAGCCTGCAGGACAGGATAAAATCCCTCAACTTGTCACTTAAAGAAATCACTGCCAAGGTAAGTACTTTTCTATGTCCATTTTCCAAAAATATCTCTGAGGTTTTCTTTTGACTGATTTTCATGTCTAACTCACTACACACCTGGATTCCGGAAGAAATGTAGACTTGGGAAGATACTGTGCAGAGAAGGCACTGAGCCAGAAGAGCCAGAGTGGGGGTGGCTCCCTGTGGAGGTCTTGACTCTTGGGCTCCCAGGAACTGTCTGGCTTGGCCTTTGCTCCCAAAGGAGTTTGTCAGTGTTGGGCATGGAAAAAGACTTCTGTGCCCCCATTAAATACCTTTGCTACAAAAGACTTTTAAGATGGGAGTACTTTGAGAAATTAGTTATGTTTCCTCTCAGGAGGACAGGGTTCAGGTCCTCACAAACATATGGCTATGGTATAGTAGGTGATTACTTTTTGCTTTTTAAAATTGACTTTGGGAAAGTTTGTTCAATAAATGGTGCTGGGAAAACTGGGTCGCTACATGCAAAAGAATGAAGCTTGACCACTACCTCACACCATACACAAAAATCAACTCAAAATGGATTAAAGAACTAGACATAAGACCTGAAACCATAAAATACATAGAAGGAAATATAGGCGAAACACTACGGGATTTGCACATCAAAGACATCTTTACAGACACATCACCCAAAGCAGTGATAGTGAAGACAAAGATAAACAGCTGGGACTACATCAAATTAAAGAGCTTCTGCACAGCAAAAGAGACAATAACAAAAACAAAGAGAAACCCCACCAACTGGGAGAACATTTTTGCACCCAACACTAATGATAAAGGACTGATCACAAAAATCTGCAAAGAGCTGATGAGACTCAACAACAACAAAGAAAATAATCCAGTCAAAAAATGGGCAGAAGAGCTAAAAAGAAACTTCTCTGAAGAGGAAATGCAAATGGCCAACAGACATATGAAAAAATGTTCAACATCACTTGTAATCAGGGAAATGCAAATCAAAACTACCATGAGATACCATCTCACACCAGTGAGAATGGCACATATTAAAAAAACTAGCAACAACAAATGTTGGCGAGGATGTGGAGAAAAAGGAACTCTTGTGCACTGTTGGTGGGAGTGCAAACTGGTCCAACCACTATGGAGAGCTGTGTGGAGATTTCTGGACCTACTAAACATAGAGCTTCCATATGATCCAGCAATTCCACTCCTAGGTATTTACCCAAAGGACACAGAAACATCAATTCCAAAGAGCACCTGCACTCCTATGTTTATAGCAGCACTGTTTACAATAGCTAAGCTTTGGAAACAACCCAAATGCCCAAAAATAGATGACTGGATCAAGAAGATGTGGTACATATATACCATGGAATATTACTCAGCATTCAAAAAAGATAAACACATGCAATTTGCAGCAACATGGATGGCACTGGAAGGGGTCATGCTCAGCGAAATAAGACAAAAAGAAAAAGAAAAATACTGGATGGTCTCACTCATAGCAGGAATCTAGAAAACTTAAATAAGGGACCAGGAAAATGAATATAAGAAAGTGAAAATCAAAATCAACAAAAAACTATGAACCAGAGACACTTTTTGGGGGGTGAGGGGCGGGAGGGGAAGGATTGGGGTCAGAATGGGGCGTTTGCAATTGTATGGGGGAATATAAAAATAAAATTTAATATTTAAAAAAAAAAATTGACTTTGGAATCGTTTTGCCTATTTAATCTGCCATTGACGTATCATGTCAAGACCTTGGTTTGTGTAGAGATAAAGTGTGCTTTCATTGTTCTCTGGGAGCACATGGTCAATTCAATTGCATAGTCAATGTGGTGCTTCCTGAGGGTAGATTACTATCTTAGATTACTATCTTCCTGAGGGTAGATTACTATCTGCAGAGACAATCATACCCAGCTGAGTTATTGACAAACTGTGAAGGAGGATCAGTTATTCTGAATTACTAAAGGTGACAGAGAACTGGGTATGAATTAAGATTCATGTTAAGATTAATTAATTAATTAATATTCAATTCTCTGTTCTCTGTCACAGTTCTCTGTCTCCTTTAGTAATAAAGTATACTAAGGTATACTTTAGTAATAAAGTATTTGTGTTTGGTCTGGGAAACAGAGTGGTCATGTAATAGCTGAAATGTAAAAAGAGAAGGTCTCTGAGCAGAAAGCAAAGCAGACAAAATCTGCTGACCTGGAAGGAATCCTTTCTAGAGAAAGTGATCAGGAAGACCTGCCCAGGACCTCGCAGGGCCATGCAGCTAAGCCCAGGTTTGGGGGTGGGCTGTTGGACTTGTGTGTCATTGGTAAGCATCTCCAGTAACTCTGGCCTTTTCCCTACTTTTGGTATTTAATTCATTCTTGAAAAAACATTGAATGATTTTGCTAAAAACCACGCAGTAACAGTTTGATGGGCATTTTTGCCCTGCATGAAAGAACAGATTCCTTTTAGCATTCAGTCTTGTTCAGAAGATGGCCTTGGGTTCAGGAACCTGAGCTGCTTGGGAGCTGCCCTGCCCTCCTTTGGAGCTTCCCGCAAAGAAAAGAGCAGGAGACTCACAGCACTGCTCTATTTGGGGCAGTGGAGGTCGTGAGTCCCCAGGCAGAACTCTGGTAAAGGGCATTTATCTTAGGCTTTTATATTGAGTGGGGCTAAGACCATTCCCCTGCCCAAGTGGATGATGAAGGGAGACTGACTCAGTTTACCAGTTTTGTTATATGTAGCAGGACAGCAAGTGGGCCTGAATTCCTGCTGTGTAAGTCACAACCATGCAGCCCAATTGCATCCATAACCCTATCAATATCCACCACCGTGACTTCTAGGCAAAGCCATAGGGAGGAGAGAAAAGGACAAAGCCTCCTGCAAGAGGTAGAAATACTCCTTCTGTATTTCTTTTGGAAATATGTGCCATTTATCAGGTGCATCCTAAATTTCTGTGTAGAGGTAAAAGATAGGGGGACTTTTAAGTTTGGTTTTCAATTTTTTGCATATCAGAACATATAGTGATTACACTATAATGAGTTTGTATCTCTACAGTGAGTATGCAGGTGTGCATATTACATAACACAGGCAGTGTTTATATAGGTGTATATTTTGTATGACATTTTATACAGTGTATATACAAACATATGCACGTGCACAAGACATTGGAATTGGTTGCTAATCTCCAGCTACTGTTAAAACTTTGGATTTGCCCATATACCAAAAATAGTTTACTTTGTTTGCCTAGCTGCTCTAATGCATTTACAAAAAACTTGTAATTTCTTTGTTTTTCCATAGGAGTAAGGAATTCATGTCTAAGATTTAAAAATGCAAATGTAAAAGTTCCATTTGATAATGAGTCCTCAGGCTCCAATTGAATTTGTAAATTCAAAGGAGATGCAGATTTTCTGGTCTGTGTGTGTGTGTGTATGTGCGCGCACACATGCTTGCATATACATGCACATGCATGAATATGTGTGTATGTGGACATATCAGTCAACAGAGAATTAAAACAACTACCCAGTCACACAAAATAACTTTCTGTCCACTGCGGGTTTGATTGACTGGTGACCTTGAGGTAAAAGTTGTAGTTCAAATGTTTTCTTTCTTTAGTCTATTAGATACATAGATCAGATATTCTTTTGAGTCCTCTCTCAAGGAAAGATGGAAACTTCCTTCCATTCATTACTTTTCTTGACTCTTATGGGTTACCCAAACCAAAGGTAATTAAGGGATAAATGAGATGGAAGAAATAGTTGGAAATAAATGGGATATCTGGAGATTGGTCGATATTAGATTACATTTAGCAGAGCCTGAAAGAATTTACATTGCAACTTAATAAGAAGATTTAGAGAGGTTGTTTCATATTAATAGTGACAGCTTGAAGGATAGATTTGCTCAACAAAGGAGAAACTGACCCAGTCATGATTAACAGAAACTGTTAACTAAAATCAGAAATATAGTGGATGAGACATTAGTGTTATGACTGGTGTTACAGAGTCATAGAAATGTTCTTGAACTTCTGATGACATTCTTAGATGATGGGTGAAGATGTGCCGGTCTTTGGGTAGAGAGCCTAAGACTTACTGCTCGGGGGTTGAGGGTGAGGATGCTGTCCAGAATATCTTCTTTTTAACTCCCAGTTCTGACATCCTGCCAAATCTCACTACTATTGAAATGGGTCTTGGAATCCATACATGTGTATGCTCAGCTCTGCTGGTGCAGACTTTGGGTTAGAGGCTGCCACACTGTCACCTTCATCCAGAGAAAGAGTTTTAAAGAGAGATTTGGCAAATGATAGCCTCTGGACAGAAAATAACTTGTTTAGGGCCATGGAAGAAATACTGTACTGTTTCGGGCGTGTTGGGTGAGGCTTCCGCTGATTCTAAAAACAATCGCAATTTCAGCCTCAGATCAGCAAAATCTTTCAAGTTGATGGTATCTAGCAAGGTCTAGATTCTTTTGGGGAAATTAAATTTTTTATTTTCTCTGAGCTCTGTGAATCCAACTGGGTTATTTTTAACTATTGAATGAAATCTTAGATTTTTAGCAAGAAAAAGAGGGAGACTTCCCCGTGGATCATCCCAATATGTCTCCACACATGTCATCCTTATTCAGCTGTGCCATATGCTTTTGTTCAACTGGAATTGTTCTAGCTAGCTCATTAATCTCAGTATAGATAGCCATTGACTGTGAAGTTTAGCTTTAAACAAAAGAAAACATTTGGATGTTTTAGCTTCAAACAAAAGAAACGATAACCTAAGACATTTTGAAAAAAGAAACTGAGCTTTAAAATTTTTGCTATTTTTGATAAAGCAACGGACACACAGGAAGAATTTAGAGTACCCTGGAAAAATAAAATCACAAAAACTGCAAACCTCACAGAGATCTCCTTGCCCATTTTTCAAAGCTGACTTTTCAGCAAATATGAACCCTCAAATTTTAATTAGACAGCATCTCTCAATTATGTCTTGGTAAGTGATTCAATTTAGTCTGTTGCTCTGCCCTTGAGCTTAGAGGTTGTGGGCTTTTATTGATGCTTACTATCTGTGAGACACAGCAATGTCTGCTCTCACAGAGCTTGCATTCTAGCCAGGGGCCTAGAGGGTGGCCATTTTGATGTGCATAATTAGCAGGTCTCCCAGGTGACATTTGAACAGAGCCCTGAAGGGTGTAAGTGAGCTGAGTTAACTGGGGCAAGAGTATTTTAGGAGGAGGGAGTAAGTAGCTAAGGCCCCTGAGAAGGGAGCAGGCAGAGTGAAGAAATTTTTTTAGTTGATAGTTTCTTTGTTGTATTGGCTCATATCAATTTTGGTTTCCGGTGTGGTGAAAGGTACAGAACCTATTTGAATATGCAAATGTTTGCATTATTAGTCCTCCTTCCTCTCTTACCTTTCCACCTTCTTCCTTATTTCTTCCTTCCTTTCTTTTTGCATTCCTTCCTTTTTAAGAACTCTCCTCCAGTTACTCTTTACCACCCCTCTTAATTATTTATAACCTCCTTAATTATTTATAAACCAGAAATCTCTCAACTGGCTGATTTATTGTCATCTGATTTTTACCTGAATAAACAATGACTCATGGCTCTTTATCCCCCTCTAGGTGTGCATGAGTGAGGAACTCTGTAGCACTCTGAGGAAGAAAGTTAATGACATTGAAACCCAACTACCAGGCTTACTTGAAGCCAAAATGCTCGCCATATCAGGTAACTGGAGAGAGAGGAGACTTAAGAGCAGCTGGAGTAAAATAGTGATGATCACCACCAAATCCGTGTTTTGTCTTTGATTAGCATTTTCTGTGTAACATATGTCCTACTCAGATATCTTGAAGCTTTTATGGGGAGTTTCCTAAAACTGATGGAATAGATAGGCATCATGATTTTCTCATGAAGTGGTGATAAGGCTCTTAAAAATACAGATGAACACATAATATACAATGTACTATTAGCATTGGTACTGTATTTTGGACTTCCAATTCCTAAAACAGGAATTGCATACAGTTTAGACACTAGATGCTGAATAACCTATAATTCTACCCAATGTTATATAGGATTATGTATCTATGGATGCTCAAAGAATATTACTGGGTGTGATCAACTGTTTTCTATAGGAGGACAGACTAATGACATGAGACAAAGTAATATAATTAGTTTATTTTTATTTATTTTTATTTTTTTAAAAAGATTTATTTATAGAAGCACTGGGTACAGTCAGAAGTGCGGGAGGGTGAGAGAATTCACCAGAGACAGAGCGGAGTGCAGAGCAGGCAGAAGGACCGAAGTACACTGCTGAGGGGGGCAGCGGGCGGCAGGAGAGGTCTGCGCACCATGTGGGACCCTCCTCTGGTGGCCGGGGAGCAGCCGGGGATCAAACTGGCACTGCAGAGGCTGCGGGCAGCTTTGCAACCCAGCGCTCAACCGCTGTGCCACCGGGGAGGCCCGATATAATTATTTTAATAGTCTTGTTTTATTACAGAGCAATCCTAATGTGAAATGGGTTGGCCTGACTGTGGGTCCTCACCTGCACCCTTAAAAGGGATTTATAATGAGACTCAACTGCAGGCACACACAAAAAGGGTAATAAGGGTTTATTTACAAAAAGGGGAGATGAAGAAATGAATAACTTAGGGAGAAAGAGAGATAAATTGGTGAATGTGTCCTACCGGTTCTGCTGATCTGGGACCCCAACAGCACGCTGAAAACTGTTGAAAAACCAAGGTCCCCCAAGGTCCACATATCTTGTTATACACCAATCCTGGATGCTTAACTCCACCCTCAGTTCCCAGCAGTCCCCCCTTCAGTGGTGATGACATTATGGGATTTGTAGTCCTTGTTGTTGATACCGGAATTGTCAGGCCTAGTCTCCCAGCCGGGATCGGATTCCAGGCTGCAGGGCAGTGCTGAGCCCCAGCCGCTAGACCCTCCACGGGTTGGTGTCTCACGAAGCCGCAGCAGGAACTTCGCAGACGCTCAGGCAAGCAAGCAAGAAGCGCAGGTTTATTTAGAAGAAAAAAAAAATTATTGAGGAGAAAAAGAGCAGAAATAAAGTGGGACTCCCAGGCCAGGGAACCAGGCCTGGGAGGGGCAAGGAAGCCAAAGTGGAGTTGTGTCTCAGGGAATATATACCTTTTTTTCCCTCATTATTCTAAAGCTCCACCAGTCTCTTTGTGATTGGTTAGTTCTCGGCTGTTTCACTTAATCTGCTACTGAGTAGGGGATCTTCACGTTCCTTATCTAACAGCTTTCTCTTTCCCCATTTGTTGCATCTTTAAATTTATGGCCCAGTCTTCTGGATGGGCATCCCTGCATTGAAGTTAAACAGCTGCCCTTCTAATGTGTCCATAAATTAAACCACTCTCCATTTCTCCAATCTCCGCCTCCCTTTACCACCTGAAGGAAACCAGGACCAGCATTAACAATGTTGTCCTTGGTTCTGGGATGTTTGTTTTTCCTAGTGGAATGGGCTACTTTCCATTTGGTTATCCTTATCTCTGAAGCCTCCCTAAATTCTTCAGAGGTCCCCTCCTGCACTGTCCCTAAAACTGCCTAATAACCCTAGCTTGCCCTGTCTCATTGTCATGGGTCTCTTTGGTCTGGGGTGGGGGTGGGGTCCATAAAACATTAGTGGAGTTTGTTCAGGACATCCTTTCCGCCAACAATTACAGACTGTAGATCTTTGAAGGTTTTTTCAGTGGGTCATTTTTCAGTTTAATCTGGTAGTTATTAAGGGATGTATTTCCCCATGCATTAGTAGATTGAAAACCCCAGTGTCTGAAAATAATCCCTTACCCTGTTATTTGCATAGTGCTTTAAAACTTTTATCTGCATCTGTTATTTTTCTTATTTTTACAACAGCAATATTAGGTGAGTGGGAGGGATACTATGGCATCCAGTAAACAGATCATGAGATTGGGGTCCTTGGTTGAGTTCACTCAACTAGCTAAGTGGTGCCAGATCAGGTGTTATACTCCATTGTAATCCATGTATTTTTTAACTGACTTATGTAATGACATCCTCCAGTATTCTCTGAGTTTTATAGGTTGAATGAACCCATAGCTCATCAACTTCAGAAGAATCATAAAAATTTAACGAAAAGGTATAATAATTACATGTATGGGTTTTAAATGGCATTTTAAGAAGGAATACAATAATTGGCAGCTTCTGCTCTTCAGGTCATTAAACAACTAATGTTGGCAGCTAATGAGCAATTTGGTTCCCGGTGCAGTCATGCGTATTATTTACAGCCAGTAGAACATGGAAATGTGAACGAGGGACTTGCCTCTTAACAGCTTCACATGCCATTCACTTGGAATTATTGCCCCATTTGCTAAAAGAAAAAAAAAAGAAGATTGACTACAGTCTTGCTTCTGAGTTAGGGGTTTTGCCTTTCTTAATCAATATATCTTTTCCAGAAATACAGGTGGATAGTGTCTCTATTAAGCCCAAGAGAGGAGAAACATAATTCAGGCAACAGAGATAGCCTTCTCCCAAGTGGGAAAAACCTCTTTTTCGACTCCCAAGGAAAATCCCTACGATGGTATAGAGCACATGGGGCTAGGCTTTCTGTTTACCTCTTTGATCAGCTGAGAAAAGCAGTGAGGCCTGATTGGATGAGGAATGACTGAGTTCACTGGGATGAAAAGTCACCTCTTAACCTGCCTTCTTTTCCTGCTCACTCTTCAGTCTCTTTGTGGATGGACCTTTCAGTCAATGGGTCATTTCCGGAGATTGTGCCGGGCCAGACTGGTCATCTTCTTTTGCAACTTCTGTTCTTAATGGGATTTGTTTCCATTCGAGCTGTACTACACTGGGAGGGCCTGAGGAGAAAAAACTATTTCTCTTGGGATCCTGATGGGTTTATTTCAGTGCCTTCAGGATGGCAAACCTCACTCCCTTAGATGACAACCACAATGTAAACATTTCCAAAGGAAGCCTTCTCTGTTTTGGGTTCCCTTGAGAAGGTGGGTGTGGGGGGAGGCAGGTGGGGGCCATAAGTGAAAGGGCCTTGAGATTCTGAGAAGCTCTATTGACTGGAGGGGATCTTAGAGAATGTTCTTAAGATTCTTAGAGGGCCTTTTGTTTGTCTGAACGTTTTTACGATTCACTGTCTTATGTCTCCTGTTCAGGTTTGAGCTGTCGGGTAAGGCCCTTTAGTATGCATTTCTGGCTCCCACCTTTCCATGTTTGACTCATCCACTGTTATTGATCTGATCCATCTGTTGAGTCATTGGTTATTTTTTTCTTGGGCTTTGACTAATATGTGTCACTCAAAAGATAGCCAATAAGAGTAATTTATTTAGGAAAAAGGACACTCCTTTGTTGATTCCTGATCTCCAGATTCTTTTATTTCCATTCCTCTTTTGGGTTTCCCCTCAGCTTGAGATACATTTTCTTTCCCACTTTTCTCCTGTTATCTATTTCCAAGGCACAAATAGTTCAAATAACCATTTATTCTTAAATAACACATCAAGATGTCTCTGGCACCCCAAGCCATTTATTTTTTAAATATGGTTCTATCCAATTTCACTTTTCCTTTATAGAAAATAAAAATGATCTACACTTAAATATATATTCATTGCAGACAAAAGTGTTATCAATGGCAACCTGAAATCTTTCTTAGCTTATGATTTGGGGGAAATGATACCATTCTAGAAAATAAACTCGATTTTCTAGATAAATAGAAAATGTTTCCCTCTCTAAAAATGTCCATGAGTTGGAGGCCTCCCCTGGTGGTGCAGGCGGTTGAGTGCCACACTGTGAAGCTGTCCGCAGCCTCTGCAGCACTGGTTCGATCCCTGCTGGCGGGCGAGGGTCCCAAATGGAGCGGCAGACCTCTCCTTTTGCGCTCGCTGCTCCCCTCAGCAGTGTATTTCGTCAATCTAGCCTGTTCTGTTCCCTGCTCTGTCTCTGGTGAACCCTCTCACCCTCCCATGCATCTGGCTTGTACCCCGGTTCTTATATAATAAATAAATCTTTAAAAAAAAAAAGTCCATGAGTTATATCAATGACTGGAGGAGATGATAGACCCTTTAAAGGTTTTTCAAAGATGATGTCTATATAAATGTAAATAATGTGAACACTTACCAAATGAGAAGCAAAGGCTGGTATTCAGAACTTGCTAGAGCAGGGAGTCAGCCACTATCACTTTTGTGTTGGCAGAGACAGAGGCAGGCAGAAGAGTGAGAAAATTTTGTAGTGACTAAAAGGGAAGGTTTTTGATGCCATTGGACTGGAAGCTGTTGGCCTGGGGGAGCTGGAGGTATTAAGTGGAACACCCTATGTGATTGGTTAGTGGAGCATATTTGTTTTTTTTCTGGTTGGTCCTAAGTTGGACCATAGGAGGGACAAAAATTAGAGAAGCTGTCTGTTATTAATCAAATCGTGGCTTTTTGGGGCCAATTGTTGCAGAAGTTATTGCTTAGTTTGCTGAACTGCTACTGGAGATAAACAGTCTCACTTCGTCCAGGTTTATTTATTTTCTGCCCTATGGCCTGCTGTCTCCCAGGGCTGCTTAATATAGCTATGGTTGGTTTCCGGGGTAGGTTACTGCAGACTGTGGGGTAGCAGTCTACTTCCATATATGAACTGGCTACTGTCTGTTGGTGTATTTAGTCTCTCACCAGGCATCACATGTTCTTAAGCTGTTTGAAGCAGCCTCTGTTTGATGTGAAATCCTGTGTGTTCCAGTGTATGTCCTCCCTCATCTTCTCTATGAAATGTATGACTGTCTAAATGTTTGATGTGCGAAACCAGTCCTGGGGCTCTGCTCACAGAAAATGCTTTTTGTCATCTCAGAGAATCAGTCACTGGAAGAAAGAAACAAAACTGACAAGTCAGCAAATTTCAGCTGAAACAACTTTCATGGGAAGGGGTGTGTGTGTGTGTGTGTGTGTGTGTGTGTGTGTGTGTGTAGGGGACAGTTTTTGGGGCTTATTTATCACCTATGTTCAGATTCCTCAAGTTCACATGTGGCAGGTAGTCTTGATATCACTGAGGGGAGGCTATGAATGATAGGTTGTGGACTTCTCTACCCATCTACTTGAGCTTAGAGCTCCTTAAAAGATCTGGTGTTATGCCAGAAAAAAAAGTAGGTTTCAATTATTTTTCGCACTGGTTTTATTACTTTTCTCCCAACAAAGAAGTATAACTCAAATTTGGGTAGGTAAAAGTGTATCATTGTAAATAAAATTATCTGTGGATCCAAGCAAGTATACTCTGTGCGTGTGTGTGTGTGTGTGTGTGTGTGTGTGTGTGTGTGTACTGAGTGGGTGAAATATCCCATATAAGCACATCCCCTTTGTGCAAAAGATGATTTGTGGTCATCTTTGGACCAAATCACTTACTGAACTGTATTTTGTAAACACCTAACATGAGTTTGGAGATACTGAGTTCAGTTTCATTAACTACATATGGAGTCTTAGAACTCCAAAACTTTGTAAGATCGGTAAAGTCATCCTCTGGGCTTCGGTTTCTTCATCTGGAAACTAAAGACAATCATTGTAACATCCCTTTCCTGGATTGTTGTGAAGATTAAATAAGACAGTTGATATAAGAAGAGCTCTGTCGTCTATAAAATCAGGCTGTCAAATAATGGTCACGGAAAATAACCCCCAATACTATGCTGTAAAGGAGGGTCAGTATTTTAATTCAGAGATGCTGAGGATAAAGTTAGAAAGAAGAGTGGGTGAAATGAGCGCCAACTTTGTTGTATACCTAGAGGTTTTTGATTGTGCTATTGGTGGAATGAAATCTTTTGACAGATGCTTAAAAAAACCCACCTGAATGCCCAAATACAGTTCGCTAGGGAGGAGGCAGGCATATGTGAGGTGTGATGGCAAAGGCGGGACATTCATCTCTACACAAATCCTCCTGTGGCATTTAGGAAAGGGCCCATTAAAGTTACGGAGATTGGGGTCACGGGGTCACTGATGGGACTTCCTTTAGAGATCAACGTTGACTTTTCTGAATTTTCATCACAGAGCTCTTGGCTGGCTTTAGTCATCAGGCAGGGCTAACATCAGGCAAGATTTACCTCATGGGTTTGAATCCCCAGCCAAAATGCTTATAAAATATTAACTGAGGGCAGTGTAGCATTTTATCATGGCTTGGGTTTTGATATTAACTGTCTCTCTGGGAATTTATACTCATTCTGCATATATAAAACTTCCACATCCATCACTAGGCATTTCCCCAAACCACATTTTTTAGGATCAAGGCAGGGACTCAGGTTTTAATTAATGATCTCTCATATTTTATTGAGGGGCCTGCTCTCTAGGGCTTGTCATGAATTGCAGGGAGGTCTGAGGATGGATTTCCAGAAAACCTTCTGTTTATGCATTCCTTATATAGAGTCTCTTCCAGTTTGTTTTGGGGGGGGGGACTTTTCTCTTTGAACTATTTGTGCAGGGAATGACACACTGGGGCACATTTTTCTAGTGTCTCTGGGGGCCCAGTTGGTTCCCACTTTTTTATTCACTCTCATGCTTGAAAATGTGGGGCACAGAACAGGCAGATCTACTGAAATACACTGCTGAGTGTAGCAGCTCGTGAGACAAGAGAGGTCTGCTGCACCATGTGGGTAGCTCCCTGGCCGGGGATAGAACTTATGTCGCTGTGGCTGGTACTAGCTTAATAGTGCTGTCTTTAACCCCTGCACCACTGGGGGGATTCCTCCTCTAATATTCATCTCTTTGACATTTGGATATTTGAATGGAGGAATACTATGTGATTGCTCTAATGGGTTTCTTCTACCCATAGTTCATCTGGGACATTTTTGTGTCATCATGTTTTACAAGGACATGAATTAGCGAATGGAACCCCCTAAAACAGATATAACAAATAAGGGGATAGGGAGACTGGAGGTTTTCCAGCTTATGGAGGAAAATCAATCAGTGTTTTTCCAGATTCCTCCATAGAAGGAGGAATATTATGAAGTTTGACATAATTAAAAAGTTTAGTGTGCTATATCTACACTGTTGATGCACGTTAGCTGTTGCTAAATCTTCCTTGTGTGGGGATACTGTAAAGCCTGATTCCTTCCTTCTCTCTCACAATGTGCTGCAGGAAACCATTTCTGTATGGCCAAGGAGCTCACGGAGGACATTACATCATTAACATCAGAGAGGGAAGGGCTGAAGGGACTCCTTAACAAGCTGCTGGTGCTGAGTTCCAGGAATGTCAAAAAGTTGGGAAGCATTAGAGAAGATTACGACAGACTGAGAAGAGAACTGGACCATGGGGAAACAGCCTATGGTAAGTGGTTACAACTTTTGTTTGATGAACGGTTTGTGATGTTTATTGTTTGGTGTGGCTGAACAGGTTGTTCTATGCTTCATGTGCATGCCACAATGGAGGGTGTCCTCCAGCATTTTTCCTGGAGTATTTTGTTGGCAGGATTGTTGGCAAATGGGGTAGGATTACCTGTTGGTTTTTGTGTTGCTGTTCATATATGAAATTTTTTATAGTGTATTTTTTAATTAAATATTTTTTATATTTATTTTCTTACATCATTGTTAATTTTTGACAGTATTTGATTTCTCCCCTCAAGTGTAGTTCCCATAGTTCTCCTACCACCACGGCACCCATGGTCCATTACCACAGTCCCTTATGCTCTTCCTGACCCTATTTTGACCCATATACCCCTCTCTCCCTGCCCTGCCCTGCTGTATTCCTCAGATATATGTTTAGTTTGCAGGTTTTGTCTTTTTTTCATGACCCTTTGTTTGGTTTCTCTATATTTCACATATAAGTTAAATCATCCTAAATTTATCTTTTTCCTTTTGATTTATTTCAGCTGGCATAATCCCTTACAACTTTAACCATGTTGTTGGAAATGGCTTTAGTTCATCTCTTTTGATTGCTGAGTAGTATTCCATTGTGTGTATGTACCACATCTTCTTGAGCTACTCATCTGTTATGGGGTATTTAGATTGTTTTCATATTTTGACTATTGTAAATAGTGCTGCAGTTAACATAGCAAAGTTTCCTTTTGAATTAGTGTTGTTTTTTCCCTCCTCCTTTACCCAGTTTTTGCTAATAATCTTGTGATTACTTAGAACAGTTTCTCCCTTGGCACAGGCCTTGAGAATTTTCTGTGTTTTGCAATTACCATCCTTTTGTTTTTTGACTCAGTCTTGCTTACAAAATCACAGAGTAAAGCAGGCCGACTCAAAAAATTGAGAAAAGACTTTGAACTAGCTCTTTCATGAATAAGCTTTTCTGAGAGTGTTTTTCTTAGGAAGAATGTTGTAGAAGATGCTTCAGCTTAAGTAACTGCTTACCAGTGTAGTTAAAGTATTCTCATGTTCTCTTCATGTTCCAATTGTTAGAAGTAACTAAGGTTTCCTTGAGTTTTCTCCCTGAGCGATTGTCTGAGAAGATGTCAGTTCAGTACAAATTGATAAAATAAAAACTTTTTTCTTACTACAAATGTAAGAATCTCTGATGCATCAGTTTCTAAGTGCAGAATGATGTATGATGTAAATTCAGATGTCAAATATATTAGATGTTAGAAGCTATTTCTTCTCTAGTAAAAAAAGAAGAAGAATATCCAATTTATAGGCTATTACATGGTACAGTCTAAATGAGGTAACATAGAGACCCTCAGATATTTGCACATGTGTGTGTGAGTGGGTGTGAGTATGCACATGTGTGCTTCACTTGCATTTCTCTTAGGAGCTAGAAGTTGATGTAAGGAAAAGGGCATATATAGCATAACATGCCCTCATAATAAATGCTGTTTACTGGGAGAACGAAATACATATATACTATTAAATGACTATATTTTCATAGTATGATTCTCTAAAAAGAAATAAGAAAGAAATGGTTATATGAAGCAGCCACATTTGAAATAGGTCTATTTGAAAACACTACACAAATCGAAGGAAACAAAGGTTAGTATTTAGAACCAAATAAAGAAATATGAAATCAGCTAGCAGAAATTAAGCGTGCCATTACACAGTGAATACATTTTGTTTTGAAGACTTTCTGAATTGTGTAGCGAGATTCTTCACACATCTACATTGGTTCAGAGCTTTTTGTTTTTTTCATTTCTGCAGGTACAGTCTTGTTTTTGCCAAACATATATTAGACTCTATATTTGAACCTTAATATATAACTATAGTTCCAAGGAATGACAATCCCCTTCCCCATATATCATAGCGTGATTTATTGTCATGATGGGCATTGGACATTTGAAACAAATTTTATTGATTTAAAAAATGTATAAATAATGAAAACTATGAAAATTTTCATGTTATCACAACCTAATCTTTGGCACAAAATGAGGAAATGGTTATATCTAAGAATAAAGAAGACATGACAAATTTGGACAAATTTAGTCCAATGATGTTTTCATTTGAACGTTGAGCACTTGAAAGCCATTAATATCTCTTTAACAAAATGAGCTGCATAGTATTTTTTGAATCTCATCATTGTCACTTCACTAAGTATTTTCAAAATGATGAATAAAACATAAACAAATGGAATAAGAGATTGTTACCATGGTTGATTCTAAATTGCAGATGGCTCATTACTGTTATGAAGATTTTCTTTATCTTTTATATGTGGATTTTGCTGCTTCAGCTACTCTTTTCCCTATTCTTTTGGTTGGAGCTAATTTTTAACCAACCTGAGGTGACTTGGCTTTTAGTGAGCCAAATTAATAATGGTGGGTTGCTAAGAATGTAGGAGACAAATAAATAAATGATAAATTCCTTAGTAAACTGAAGCTTTTGCCTATTGAAATGTAGTAGGCTTAGGCCAAAGTCCATATCTTGTCATTTGTTGGGTTTTGAGAGTTAACAATTCAGAGGGAGCTCTATGCACAAGTTTAATTGTAGAGCAAATATAAAGGAATAGTACATGTGTGCATGTACGTACCATGAGCGGAGTTCTTTTATTCTCAGGTAAAACATTTGAAAATAAGAAAAGGAATGAGCAATATGTAGGTTTTTTTTTTTTTTTTTTTTTTTTTGTGGGACCCTCGCCAGTGGCCAGGGAATGAACCGGTGCTGCAGAGGCTGCGGGCAGCCTTGCAGCCCAGCGCTCAACCGCTGTGCCACCAGGAGAAGCCCACAATATGTAGTATTCTTAAAAAAAATCTTGATTTCCCAGCAATGGTTGTAGAATGTGGCATGCAGGGGAAAAAGGCAATTAGAAATGGACAGGCAACTTCAGGCGGACAAAGGATCAGGCTCTTCTGTGTTGTTATTTTGTGCTTTTCAACATGTGACTTTCCTTCCAAGAGAGATGATGCAGCCATGTGCATGAGCAAGCCCACCCAGTGTCCTGTTTCTATAGCACCTGGGGAGATTTGTAGTCTTAGGGACTGATGATAAGTTTCTTTCATACAGAGAACTCATTCATGGAATAAGAATAATGGCTCATGACAAATGAACTTGTTTTACTGATCACTTACAATATCATTACATCTTATGTACCTGTCTAGGTTACCAGTGGTTATGTTTAAAAAGCACTGTTTTTATTTTTTATTTATTTTGATGTGTACCTGGCATGGTATTTTTAAATTTATTTAATTGTTTTAAAAGTACTTTCTTTGAAAAATTTATTTCCTTACATCTTTGTTAATATTTGGATAGTATTGGGCCTCCCTGGTGACACAGCAGTTGAGCGCTGGGCTGCGAAGCTGCCCGCAGCCTCTGCAGCGCTGGTTCAATGCCCCACCACCAGCGAGGGTCCCACATGGCACGCAGACCTCTCCTGCCGCCCGCTGCTCCCCTTAGCAGTGTATTTCGTCAGTCTGCTTGCTCTGCTTTCTGCTCTGGCTCTGGTGAATTTTCTCACCCTCCTGTGCTTCTGACTGTACCCAGTGCTTGTATAAATAAATAAATAAATAAATAAATAAATAAATAAATAAATAAATAAATAAATCTTAAAAAAAAATATTTGGATAGTGTTGGATTCTCCCCTCTGGTGTCGTTCCTGTATTTTTCCTACCACCATATCACCTGGCTCCACCACCAAGAGTCCCTTGTGCTCTTCCCTGCATGTTTTGCCTCCTTTCCCTCCCATTCCCTCTCCCATGCTGTATGGTGTGGTATTTTTTAAAATGGTAAAAATACCATAAATAATTGCTCATTTGCTGGGACCAGATCTTAAAACACAACAGTAGTTCTTTCTTCTTTTATTTTATGTTACAGACACAGATCTTAGATCTTATTTAAAAAATGTTTTAAAAATTCATTTTCCAAATTAATGAGTGCAGTGATAAGTTTTGATAGTCTTTCATAGAAGATGCTTGGCTTGTCTGAGTTGAATAATCAGATTGGGGTGTCAGTAGACAGAACAATATGATGAAAAAGGACTGAAATATGCCAAAGTACTCAAGGGCAAAGGGAGACAGAGATCATTACCCAACCTGCTGACTTTCATCCCAGTGACACACACTCTCTGTGAAGTGGTGAGAGAGGGATGAGCTTTAACCCCCCGTGAGCTGTTCTTAAGCTTTCAGGAGAACACTTTTGAATTCTGAGCAATTTTAAGTGCTGTGAAATAGAATGGAAAGCTAAATCTATTTTTCAATCCTTCAATACTTATGGAAATGAACTACAAACCTTTAATTATTGTGGATTCCAATTTTTTTTAAGGGAGGGTGAGATTAAAAAAAAATTCAGTAACTTTTTTACAGTTTGCTACATCTGCTCTTCAGAAAAAAGACAAGCCTGAGATTTACATAACTGTTTTTCTATCCCTTGTGTATAAGTTGGTAATCGGTATTGTACTTTATTAATATTGTTGATTTTTCACTGTAACTCAGATATAAAGGAAGCAGACGTCAAGGGGAGAGATTTAATCACAGAATAATCAGGGCTAGAATTTTAAATAGGACATCATTAGCATGTTAATGAATTTTCCCACTTTATGCCAGCTGCCCGAGTAGAAAAGACATTGCAGATGTAGCTCAAAAATCTGCCTGGGTGTGCAGCCCGGTGAACTGCCAGGAATTCGTGTAGAGGATCCATAAAATACGTAAAGGGATTCTCAGTGTGAATATCAAAAGGCAGGATTTCGTTTTTTCTGGGGATGATAGCTGGTTGTGTTCAGATTAAAATCATTTGCCTGTCAATTAGTAAGGAGAAAAAGGAAGGCAAATAAGGAGAAAGATAAAGGTAATAAAGTTGACGTGAAATCAACTTTTCAATGATGGTTTGAAGCAGAATCTATATTTTGTCTTAGATGAGAAAGCCCACATATTGGACTACTTCAGAACTTTTGAAATTGAAATAACTAGT